AATAAGGAAGCTTCCAAAAGATACTTCTTTTAACCCAATTATGCCAATTACCAAATCCTTCGATCACTTGCCTTTGGGATGGCTTCCCAAATAGTATATCGAGCAACTTGGGAATTTGTCGAAACATATCATCACCCGACAATCTCTCTGATATATTTCGACTGTTTGAGAGGTGAAATGCCTTAGAATTTTCTTAACAATATAGACATGATAATCTACCATGTGTGTTTTATCTAGATAACATGCCATATGCAAGAAAGTCAATAATTGTCCACATAAGTGCTATTCTCATAATGAAATGTTGATACCTAAAGCTATCATATGTCATGACCCCATTATACGAAAATTCCTTTAATTCATCAATTAGTGGGCGTAACATGACATCAATGTTTTTTCCTGGACTTTAAGGGCCTTGTATTTTAGAGAAAGAAAGATGGATTCCGATTTCATACACATTGATGGTGGGAGGTTGTAAATAGTAAAAAATACAGACCAACATGAGTATGGGGTTGCTGTATGACCAAATGAAGTGAATCCATCTATGCACAATCCAAGCCTTACATTCCTTGGATCTAACCCAAAGTTGAGGTAGATGCGATTAAAGTGTTTCCATGCCTCAACACCGGCAAGATGCACAATCTTTTCAGATTCACCACCATAAGTAAGGTGCCATGTCATGTTGTTTACCCTAAAATAAACGAATAGGGTAAGGCCACGTGTCAAGGTAAAGCCCAATTATCAAAAAAATCAATAGGCTGGATTTGGGCTGGACTGGCTTACAATTTAATGGCCTAGACGAATTTTCAAAGAGGTTGGATCTTAGGTGGCAGAAGATAAGATTGGATTTGGTAGTTTGAGTTTGATTTAAAGTGGGAAATTGAGGATTTTTAGGTAGTTATCTTTAAGGTTGTTGGAGATAAGGTTAAATAGAAATTATCGGATAACTGTCAAGCAATTGCCAGACATGCAATCCGACAACCAGATCATGGAGGAACAATACCGAAAATCATGGAGGAAGTTTCCAGCACTGAAGAAAATAAAAATAGAGAAAAGAGAATAGTTCAGAGTCCTACCCAACACACACACAGACTACCCAGAGCATGTTTTTTCAGCTTTCAGATTGCATTTTCCAGATTTCAGCAATAGTTTCCAGATTTTCTAGATTTTCCAGATTAGTTCATAGCCTTAGCCTAGGTTTGTTCATCTTTGTTCATATTTTCTTCCGTAAATTCCAATTTAGATTAATTTTTAAGCATTTGGAAGCAACTTAGCCTTCAAAATAGGCCTGCCCTTTTGATTCGGTTAGTTCTTCTTCCTTTTATGGATTTAGTTATGTTATTCGTTCATGTAAATAGGTTGAACGTTCTCTACCTTTGTTCTTTTGACTCTGCAAAATATCCAGACATGCAGTTTGTTTAATTTCAATTTCCAGATTTAAATTTATAAGTTTCCGGACTTTAATCATTTCATAGTTTATACTTCAGTTTTAGTTAATCATTATGGGCTGCATAATTGAAATCATTGTCTGTTATTTTACTTTTTCTATTGTCTGCGAATTTAATCTTTATGGAATGTTATTTTCTATTATTTACTTCATGTTAGTTTAATTGCCTTAGGATATTGCATTTATTTTAGGATTTGTAGCTTTTATTATACTTGTTTGGTTGTGAAGTCCTTGGAGGTTTCCAAGGCAATTAGTAACCCATTTTGCAGAACTCTACCCTCTGTTTTGCAACATCGTCTGGGGCGCAATTCATTTCACAGACGTTCTTTTCAGCCATCCTATTGGAGGTCGACCGTTGGAAAGGAGAAGGGTCGTCTGAAAAATCCAGTTTTCTTGTTTTTAAACAAAGCAAATGGCACGCCTAATAACCAAATTCACGTGGTAAAGGTTGGCTAAGGATTTTTGAGGAAACAATCCTTTGTTGGCACGCCTAGTGGGAGCACCAGTAGGATGTATCAGCTACAGTTCACAAATCCTCTGTTCATACATTCAGAGGCATCTAGAGCCATGCCACCGAGAAAGAGCAGAGATAAAGAGCTTCAGCCAGCCCATGCTGAACATGCAGATGATAGTTTAGTTTACTCGGAGGGTGAGAATGATCCAGTTGTTCCTCCTTTCTTATCACCCTTCGTGGAGCGATCTTATGGCAATCCAATTTTCAAAGAAAGGGATGCAGACCGCAGAGATGACTTTGCTGAATCAAGTAATGTGTTTAGAGGTATAACTTAATGTTTGGATTTAGCATTCAAAGAACAGAACCAGGCTATGCGGAGACTTGTTGAGAGTCAAGCAGAATCCTCCAGACGTCAGGAAGAGATAATTAGACAATGTATAGAAGACATAAGATGGGCCTTTGAAGAAGGCACTAGGGTGATGCGAGAAACTGGGGAAGAAAGTCGCAGAACACTGCAGGTTGTTTTAGAACAAGTGGCTGAGCAAGTGCAACAACCCAGACTTGAGATCCTTCCTCCAACCGTTGAAATGCCCAAACAGATTTAGGAAGCCCCAATCCCAGCACTCGGGGGGCAAGGGAATCAGCCTGATCCCAATATTCAACAGCAACATTTTGTCATTGGTGAAGGGCAAAGACAACACCAATTGATGGAGGCTGCTACTCTTGTTGCAGACCATGGCCGTCAACCTCAACATAGGTATATTCCGCCAGCAAGGAAGGGAAATGTGGGTCCTCATCATTAACCCCATCTAAGGAACTTTTTCCAGCCACAAGTTCCAGCAGCCCAATCGGTACAGCACGATCTGTAGAATCAACCAGCTCAATTCTTCAATAGAGACCATGGGCCAGCCTTGAGGTCATTGGAAAAGATTGATAAGGGTATC